AAAAAAAAAAAACTGTCAAAGTTCTGTGATCTAATGAAGTATGAAATAGGGAAAGCAGCTTGGCTTGCACCTCACTGCAGTTACAGTTCCATTACAGATTAAGCCTCAATCTGTGCATGTGCAGCTGGTGTTACGGTGATAACCTCATCTCTTCCCTTACACATCCTCTGGACTTTGTTTGATACCCCAGGTGACCTGCTTCAGTGCAGTAAAACAGCAGAAGCCTAGCCAAATCCAAAAGAGTGGGTAACTTTCTGTTGGTTTAATGAGCTGAAGTAGCTCATATAAGAATTGGACACACACTATCAGAGGGGCTGGAGAGGAATCAAAACTCAGTCCTACTAGTTTAAATAGATTAAAACTGTTGTAAAACTACAGCCTGACCTCTCAACTCTGCTAAATTTTCCAGGCACACATCACTTGCCTTAACAACACAGTTCGCAAACAGGCTGTATCGCATAAACATCCCCAGCAAGATATGTTTTGTTCATACACAAACAGCAAGAGCCAGTGTGGACCCCTCCCTGGCTCTGCTGCAGTCCTTAAACTTACAGCAGGAAAGCGATCGAGCTTCCAAGTTGAATTAAGACCTGAAAATATCAGCTGCATTCCTGGAGTGTTTACCTTTCCTCTGATCTTCAGGTAGTGCGTGAATCTTTCTTGCAGGGAAAAAGAAAAAGGAGGTAGAGACTAACTTGGTGCTGCCAATTCATCAAAAGTCGGATCTTAATGGTTGAAACAAAGTGCTTGACATTTTATACTGAAATGTTGTGGTTTCTGAGTTTGTTACAACTCTTAATAAATTTTTTTAATCATACAAAAAAACAATCTGGTGGGTTTTGTGCTTTATGTGTTTTCTGATTATATATCAGCTACATAAAAGAATACAGTTACATATCCCTCATAGATACATAAAAAGCACCAACTACGTATTTACCAACAGTATATACTGAAATCAAGTCCAACCATTAACATAAGTAAAGATCAGAATATTAGGAGGCAGGTTTTAAGTAACGTGTAGATATATAATTATTTCTGTTTAAATGCAGATTCCCCGTTTTCTTCCAAATACTGCAAGACCAAATCAAGATTTCTATTTCTCAAAACATTAATAACACCCCAGAAACAATTTAAAAACTCTAATGTCTCAGCTTCAAGAGAACTATATTAAACTCCAGATGAAGGTCACCACATTGTACCCGTAGAACAAAAAAAGCTTTATGTGTTTTTAAAGTATTGTAAGTACTGTTGCTTTCTCTACCACTTTCCTACTTCAATATGCCCTTCTAAGTATTTTCATAAGTGCATACAAGTTTTATGTGCATATTTTGTGTATCAAAGATTACTATAATACTGAGCCACAGTGAAAGGCTCCTTGCACTTTGCGTATTATTAGTTACAGTTATGACAGGCCATAGTGTATGTCTGCATTTACACTGTGAGGGCTCTTGTCCCCTGCCCTGCCCAGGACCCCATGTCAGCATCCTGGGGCATCAGATCCTGCCCCAGCTCCCCACAGCACTGCCTGGCCTGGCCATGGGCCCCGCTGAGCCTGGCCCACCCGCCGGCCGAGCGCCCCGGCCCAGCCTGGGTCTGGTCCCACCAGCAATGCCTGACACCTGGGACTGGGGTTGCTTTGGTGCCCCCCGAGCCTGCCCCACTCCTGGCTGCAGGGGTGGCACAGGCCCCGGCCATGAGGTCCAGTCCTGCCACCCCCTGGGGAGCCTCTGCTGCCCCCCCCACCCAGCCCTAGGGAGCTGCCAGCCCCACTATGCCATGACATGAAACATGAAAAATTATTTAAGTAAAAAAAAAGTTAAAGAAAGAAATGCAAGAAACACCCGAGGAAATTTACCCATTTTTCATTATCCGCTCAATCAGATTTTTCTAACCTGAACTCCAGCTGGGACTTTGAGTGCAAATCACAGCAACTTTTCATCTTACTCCCCGAGAATTTAAATATGCTAGAGGAGAGCAGCTGGTCACACCCAGCGGTGCCCTGGACACTCCAACCAGGCGTCTCTTTTACAGGCAACTACCTGAAACCATGGACAGCCAGACTTAAATCCTCTGCAAGAGGTGAGCTGGGCCACAAACATCGCATTTCTTGTGGCCCAAGTTTTCACTGTCTTAAATATAAGGAAGTCAAAAAACAGTGTAAAGCAAGTACATTTACTGCATCAGAAATAACTGTCAATGCTTCTTTTAACCAAAAGGTCAGGCATATGCACACCTCAAATCTGCAGGATATGGAAAGCTTCCATATAACAAACCTATGAAGTATCACCAACATTCAGAATTCTCTTATGTGCTATCTAAATGCACCCTGTGCAGTTTTTTGGGGGTTTTTTGGTTGGTTGGTTTTCTAAAGATATATATGGGTTTTATACTTATGTATGTGCTTATTTCCCTTCAGCTCTACTATGTCATAGCTCAGTACCAAAAATTCTCCATTTCTCAGACTGCAGTAGACTTTTCACAATAAACGTGAAAGAGAACCTATTATTTCAGAAATAATTTTAAAATACCGTACACAATTTCCTCCATAAAAATCAGCTTTTAAATAATTATGCGAGAACCAAGTCTTACTCAGTTCCCTGAAATGCTGAAGGAAAAGAAACACAAACACTGCCAGCTTGAACAATCCATTTTGCTAAGACAATTGCGAGAGTAAAATTTAGTATCTTGAGAAAACGGAGAGACTCACAAGAAAAAAAGTTACTGGAATTAAGAGTAAACTGTGTATTCTAAGACTTTCTCAAAAACTACACATCTTAAGACACCTCTTCCTCTTTACCTCAAAGACCATAAATTCAGATAACAATCAATTATGTTTCCTATATTCAGAGGGCTCACTTATGAAGTAGAGCTTAAATGTTTCAGTTTTCCTTTGATACAAAAGCAATTAGTAAGGGAGATGGTTGACCAGTATCTATTTTTAATGTTTCTATATTTGATGGAATTCTACATAGGTGAGTGTGAAGCCATATGTAGCAATAAAGAACAGGCAACAGGATGGGAAACTACCACAAGAGCTGGTATTTCTATGAAAGATTTTGCATCTTGGAAGCTCATGTTTTACTCATTATCCTCCAAAGCTAGTAACACATCTTCAAAGGAAACAGTAATCTTTCCATATGTAAGCAAAGAGACATTGAGTAAGGGTAAGTTTAGCACCTTCTCATTTAGCAGTGTCTCACCATTGGATTATGAAAAAAATTTGAGATCACTGCAGACGGCCCGGTCCACCCAACTCAAGGAAGTTAATTATTTCCTAGACAAAACGTAATGGCGGAAGTTTGTTTACAGAGCAACAGAACCACCCGAAATTTAATACTGCAGAATTCCTCAGTTCAGCAAACAAAACCCTAATAAGAAAACAGGAACCTGGAAATAGGTAAATTCCACACAGATTTAATTTTTTTTCCTTTTAAAGAACAATGGCAATTGGCTGGGCAAATGTTGCTATGGAGATTTTCCATTAAGAATTACAACCCAAGAAGTCCATTATTTTCTAAAAGATACTTCAGACTTGATTGCTTTAAAGTAATCTAAAAATACCATTTTTATCATAATTTAAATCATGAAACATTGACTTAATAAAAAAATTAATCTTGGCTTTACGCTGTATTTGTAGTTTCAATTTCCTAAATGTGATTTAATTTTCCAAAAGGTTAATTCTGTCCGATGTATCACATTTTGCTAAATGAGAATAGAATATCTCAACATTTATTAAGGCCTGTGTATATAGTATTTCATACATTTATTCAAATGCCTACATTGTACATTTTAATAACATTGAAACAATGAATCTTAATAGATTATTTATCTTGAATTGTGATCTCTCTCCTTGCACGTAGATGGAAATTGGAATCCATCTAAATTGTGCAAGAGCACTACTTGAAAATTAAACATATTGGAACTTCTTTAACATGCTGAATACACAAAAAAGTAAAACTATAATTTTTTTTTGTAAAGGGAAGTTTTACCAACAGGATTGTTTCAGACATTGTGTCCTTCTAGGTTTTAGAACATCCAGACCATAAAATATTTTAAAGTAATTGTTAGAAGCAGACTAAGACTTTTTCATTGGTCTTTCCAACATGAACTGCCCTTGACAAAGACAATTTTTTTCTTACCAACATTAAATCAAAACCGAAAATCCTCAGCCCCTTCCTTGGCCAGGCTTTCAAAATTTCATGCATTCACATAACACAGCTAGAGACCTGTCTCAGGACTCCCTTCTCCATTAACAATTTCACTTGGCATCTCAGGGAGGTTTGTCTTTTTAAAAAACTTTCCTTCATTTTGAACCTTCACAACCATTTTCTAAACTTCAGATCAGGCAATCCTTGAACTGAACTAGTTGGATAAAGAGAAAACAGGAAATACTGCCTGCAGCTACAAATTATATTACTACTGACCAACCACTTCTGCAAACTGTCCCACCTGCTTTGGGGCTTTTTCCATTTCAAACAATGAGCAGTTGAAATTTTGGAAGAAGCTAAATGTGCATCTAGGATTCTGAAACAG